ACGCTAGTTATGCTGCTAGATTAACGTCGTATGATAGATGGCCTAAAGCAATGTCACAAACTAAAGAAGAACTAGCAACTGCTGGTTTCTATTACACTGGAAGTGGCGATCAAACATTATGTTATCATTGCGGTGGAGGATTAAGGGATTGGGAGCCAAATGATGATCCTTGGGTGGAACATGCCAAATGGTTCGAATACTGTCCTTATCTAGTTTTGACTAAAGGAATAGAGTTTGTGAGCAACATTACGGGGAGAACGTATCTCGGAGCAGTAAGTATTAAAATATATTTATTTTTAATATCTATTAACAATAAATATATTTTATTTATTTTATAATAAATATTTTAATTATGAAATTGTGTTGAATGCAATAATAATTAATTCTAAATTGTTTTATTTTTTCGCGTAGGAAAACATACCAACTGCAGTTAATAAATTGAATGAAAAATTAGAGAAAGCTGATAGTGAGAATACTGCCAGCGGAAGTTCTCAAAATTCAATCAATTCTGAAATAACTAATAATAAAACAGAAGCAAGTGCTGTATCAGGTGAAGCTAAAAGCGAGGAACAATCTGTCCAATCACAGGGTGACAAACCATGCGACAAGGATGCAAGATTATGTAAAATTTGCTATAGTAGAGAAGTACGGATTGTATTTATGCCATGCGGACATTTATTGGCGTGTGCAGAGTGTGCGAAAAATATGAAAATATGCGGCGTATGTCGTAAGAATGTTGAACTTACTGTACAAGTGTACATCTCATAGTGTCTTTATCTTTGTGATAAATAATCGGATTCTGATAAAATTTTCTACTTATCATCATTATAAAGACTGACATTTTCAAGCAAAAAAACTAAACGACTTGACTCATGTAGTATACCGATTAGCAGGTACAAACTATACAACGTTGAAACTCTTGTTAATGAAATATTAACTTTTCACGGTTATTATGGTCTCAATAGAAAGGATATTCTGTTGTAATATTAACAAGTAAATGTACTTTTTGTAATCGTTGTACAAGTAATAAATGTTCCTATATTTAAATATATATATATTATAAGTATATATATATAAGTACATATATATATATATATACTACGTAATCGGTATTGCAAAAATTGTTAATCGATGTATACATATGTGGCATATCAAGTTTTCATATTTTAATAGCGCAAATACAAGAAGTTGTTAAAATCAGAAGAAATAGATTGTACCTGCAACGGAACGTTGCTATTTGAACGTTTTCGAATTTATATTGTTTCCTAATGCGACATTTGCCGAAAAGGATATTGGTAGTGAAAGACGAAGGTAAAGCGGGGCACCATTGTACGAGTACAAATAGCAACACGGCATGAAGTCTAGTCATTAGTATTATGTAATGATGAGAAATAAGATATATATTCATATACAAATATAGGTTATGGATATTTCGGCGTTTAGTTCATGATTGAAATGATATATTGGGCTAAATATTCGTATGCAAAGAGAAAAATAAACTCCGTTATAAAATGCGTCTGTCTTAGGAGAAGATCAAATCTAAAAATAGTTTTGTGGAAAACGTATTTCAGTCATTTATAATTTTAAATCGTTTTCGAAATATAGGAGATGAGGACAGACTTTATTGACACTCTAGATAGAAATCGTGATTTTTGGAGCGTTAATGTTTGTATCAATATGTAGAATTGTTTCTAAAATAATCGTCACCTTTCTTTTGATTCATATTGAAATTTCTTTAATAGCAAATTGCGCGGTAATATATTTTTTCTTCGCGCTGAATGTTTGTAACCTAACTTTATTAGCCTTTCTACTATAGATTAATGAAAAAATTTAGAATTTAATCTGCCAATCTTTTTCTAATTTCTGTTATAATAGACATTCCGTTTATACATATTAACGTACTGCAAATGATTACACACATCACTGTCCATAAGTAAAAAATATGAAACTTTATCGTAACGAATCTAAGCACTCCAGGGTACGGTTGATATAAAATTAATTAAATTAATTAAATAACATTCAAGTTCAAAGCTCCTGATCTATCGCTCTTACACAATATGAGGTAGTCTCTTAACATCAATATGATTGACAATTAAAGTATCCTTAAAGAAACAATTACACAATTAAATTGAGTTCCTAAAAGTTGAAAATTCTAAGTTTATGTCCACGAATCGATTAATTATATCAATTAGCATCGAAATTCTGAAACAATTCGGTATATATACAGGGCGACCGATAAAGATCATATCAGCTTAAAAGTAAATTGTTGAGAATATTAAGACAAAAATTGTAATACCAGATGTCAAGACTATAATAGTTTTTGAATATAAAGTTAGCGAATCACTAAAATTTGCACGTTCAACGTGCGTAATACAAGACAAAGTGTTAAAAGCGAAAGCTATTGTTATCTCTTGTTGAAATCGATATAAAAGTTACGCATACGTAAATTTAAATTTATTGATGTTTGTTAAAAATTATAATTTCGACACATTTTGTTTGGGTATTATATTTTCGTCTCAAAATGATTTCAGGAATCTCCATTTCTTTATGCCTTGATTTAACCTAACTTTTATATAAAATGACCAAATCTGAGGTTTATTCAATAAATATAATAACCTTATGTGAAATAACTTATAAATATCTACCAATGTAATCGTAAGAGCTATATCCTTTATACACTATCGAGTATGCCAAAAGTTCCTTGTTTCACACACACACATAATCTTAGAATTACTAAATTTATTATATTACCTATACGAAATAATAATAACGACACGTACATTTATATTAACAAATTCTTACGTTGCATTTCTTTAAAGATACTTTAATTGTCAACTATATTGATGTTGAGAGCCTATCTCATATCTCCATTTAAGTGTTATAATTTTTTCTCATTTCTTCTCATTGTTGATCACACACTATTACAATTCAGCTTCATTAACACAAAAGAGATTGTCCATATCGAAAGAACGACTATTGTATTTAATAGAACACTATCTTCATGGATTATTGTATGTATGCATGTTTCTATACCAACACCTCTACTAATTTCGTTTTACATATAATTTTGCTAAGCTCATCTCAGTGAACCTATTATATTGCTGATGTTTAAAAATTATGTATTCTTCTCTCTACGGAGATACGAAAGCAATTCAGTGTAAAATATATATTTCTTTAATATTTTTATACTTTAGATTTGTAGCAATTATTAATTTAAAACGGTAGGTGTTAATACAGCAACCCCCCTCTCGTAAAAACTGTGCAGTTCTTGACTAGGAGCAATATTCAAATCGATAGTAAATAACAATTTGGTACGAGTGCTATTCAAGTAGACCGGCAAGGACAGTTTCTGATATCCTCCGTACATAATCGGGCCCATCTTAGCATAGTGACTAGTAAATCAATCATGATAGTCGAAGTTAAATACAATTGATTATCCTTACATTGCGCATCTTGTAATTTTAAACCGGCAAAGGAACAATCATCCGTGGCAATATTATCGCCGTCTCCGATAGTTACGTTTAATTGCAATTCCTCGAATGATCAGCTATTAGCCTGCGCGATGCATTATCTGGTTGCGGTGATATAAACCTCAAGATTCAGCAAACCTCTCAGCCAAACTGGAAAACTCTGAAACCAATCATAATCGATTGATAATTTTATATCGAATTAATTTGAGCGAATTCAATGAAGAGTAAACATATTTCTAAAAAATAGTATAATTAATATCATTCAGTGATAAAATATCTGGAACAGTGAAGCAAATATAAGGAAATGGTGAAAATTAAAATAAACCTTTATCTCCTTCGTACCGCCTTGGGAGACTAAACGCGAGACTTCCTGCAGTTGCGAAACCCTGTGGCTAAAATCGCTAATCCATTGTATGACCATATATGCCTCTTGGCACAGTATATCTCTTCCAACCATCGGGCAGAATACCTTTTACTAATTCAGAAAGCATCGTTCTATGATAATTGGTCTGTTTCTTCTCGCTCTGTTAAAAATACATAAAACACACAGTTAATTTAAACAATATTAGCCCATTGGTCATTTTATATTTGAGAGTAATAAAACAAGTAAAATACTTATTTGACAAATTAATACGACATCTCCCAAGTTGTGGATAACATCTTGAAGTAATTTAGCTCCAATGTTGACTTCCCTCTCGAAGTATCTATATAATAGATCTTTGATATTCTCGACTATTCTCTTCAAGGTTGGTAGATTCTTTGGAAGTAATTGTAACTAAGTGGAAGCAAATTATGCAAGGTCCTCATTCAAGATGGTCGACCATCTGCTTCAGCTTCTCTTGGCGTATCTAGAGATTCCACGTTCGAATACGCCAATTCGTCCTCATCCTCCAACTGCTGCATCTTAAGAAGCTTGGAAACCAAGTCGTTTCCTCTTGTGGTTAGAAGTACTTTTTCCGCATTGTTCGCCAAGCCAGGAAGAGTCATTAGAGCATCCCAAGGCCCTTTTTCTGGCGGCAGATTGTCCTGCCCATAGTCGTTCATAGCTTCAATCGATGTATCTAAAGTATCGCAGGCGACTCTCAAGTTGTTGAATTCATAATGCTTTGCCCAGCCCAACGCATAACGTAGACGTTTCTGCGAATTCCTGTACGATTGCATGGAACGGGAGCAGGAAGTAGAGACGGGCTCTCTCGTTGGGTGCTCGCATCATCCTTGAAGCGGGAACAGTGCTAAATGTGCACAACAAGTTTGCTCGAAATACGTTAAGAACGATTTCTATCTACAGAGTGTCGATGAAGTTTGTCCTCATCACCCATATTTCGAAAACGATTTAAAATTATAAATGACTGCGAAATACGTTTTCTACAAAACTATTTTTAGATTTGATCTCCTAAGCCAGACACATTTTATAACGGAGTTTTTTACGACACCTTGTGTGTATATATTTATATAAAATTAGTATAGGAATTGCATTTTAATATCTAATATTTAATTTATCTGCGAATATATTTTGTATATATTGTCTACGTAATATAAATTAACGTAGACATAACGTATTTCCATAGAGAGGGAAATATATAATTTTTAAACATCAACAATATAATAGCTTCACTGAGATGAGCTTAGCAAAATTATATATAAAATGAAATTTGTAGAGGTGTTGGTATAGAAACATGCATACATACAATATTCCATGAAGATAGTGATTCTATCAAATGTTGTAATAGTCGTTCTTTCGATATGGACGATTTCTTTTGTGTTAATGAAGCTGAAACTTGTAATAATGTGTGTTCAACAATGAAAAGAAATGAGACCAAAAATTTTGCATTTTCGTGTTGTCGTTCGTTTTTCTAATATAAATTTTCTCGTAATTACGTTCTCTTTGTCCAAAGTTATTCTGTTCTATTAGTACACAATTATATAAATATACACATGCATTTACACATATATATATATTTTTGTATACTTATTTGTAGATGTTAATTTTATTTTTGTATCACGAATGCATATTTACAGCATAGATATACATTTTTCTAACTTTCAACTTTTTTTAATATATCTGCAGTAAAATGTATTTGTGATAATTGGACGTGTACCCTGGGCAAAATAACTTTGACATTATATTGTACAAAACTTAGAGATACACATGTAATGATAATGACAATTATAACACAAAATAAAATTTCAAAAGAGAAAGATGATTGTTTCTTTCAATAACATTCCATATACGATTCTCACATGTCCACTTGTACATACAATAAGAAGAGCACGATAAAAGAAAAAAATATCACACGAGTTAACTGCGTCACTCGGTAAAAAAAAAACAAGTTATCCTTTCTATTAAAATGTCTGTAATGTATAACGCGTTTGTCTAGAATTGCATTGTGACAAAGAAAATACAATAATAAAACATTACGTGATATAATGCAATTAAAGATTTATATTTTAATTTTTTTATTACAGCAGTTTTATTTTATTTAGCAATTCGTTGAATATATAAGTCATATGTTATAATAAACATTACCCTTTAAAATATAATATAAAGATGCTGAATGATAAATATCGATTTGAATCTTCCCGTTTGGACAGCTTCAAAAACTAGCTGTATTTATGAAAGGAGTCAAAGGAATTCGCTGCGACTGGATTCTACTATACAAGCAAAAGCGACAAAGTCAACCGTTTTAATTGTGCAAAAATATACGAATAGCAGATAGAAGACAATCCAATGATCGAACATCAACGATGGTCTAAACTTAAACGATTTGTTCAGTACGGATCCTAGTACAATTCCGCTACTCGTGTTTAGAGTACTGGATATATGTGAAATAAATATATTTTTTTAATGTTTATTGTTCTGATATTGTATGTCTTCTCTTGCTTACGAACTCTATTCTTTTATTTAAAATCAGATAAGAATAATTATTAACTTTACTATTCACAAATTATCATTTGGCTGCTGTATAATTGCTACAACTGCTATATAAGAAATAAATAGAAATAAACAACAAAAGCTAGGACTGTGCGACTCATGGCAAAGACAGATGTCTAATAGTGCAGAGGAGATTGAACTTCGGTTCAAATTTCAGCACCGCCAGATACTTTTCTGCAGTTATCCAATGGATGAAAAACAAAAGAATGAATTGTTGTGTTCAAATGGAATTACTGATCGAATTGTTTCGAAGAGTCCCGACTATGATCTTATGCTGCCTGATTAGAGTCGCATCACAAATGATCTAAAGCATTGTTAGAAATTGAAGAAAAATTAACAATAATAGAAACCATGCTGGGTTTCTATTATTTGGAAAGTAGCGATAAAATATTGTGCTTTCATTGCTGAGAATTAAAAAACTGACAGTCAAACAGTAGACAAAGCATATCTAGTTCGATAACCGTTTGATCAAGTCTCTAACTCTTTCTCCTCCACAGTGAAAGCATAATATTTTACATGTGAATATACAGAATTAAATGTTTACAAATACACACGTACATATATTCATTATACGTGCAAAAGATGCATCAAATTATCTGAAATATGGCAGCAATCAAATTCTATGACTTCAGAGCTCCATATTTCTTTATCCTTTGATCTTCTGTAATTGTAGCAGTGGAGACATTTATTTAGAATTATAAACTATATCGAAATATCTCAAAAGCAATCCGACTGAGGTAATTTTTCCACAAGAAACGTATAGTCTGTTGTATTAAAATTTGACTAAGATAATTTAATGATGAATAAGAATAAATTATAGGATCGACAAAGAGATTGGTCATCAAAAGATAAACAAAATATGTATAATTGAACGTTGATTACAAATAGTGAAAACAAAGTGATATTATAATACGAGTTTATTAGATGCTAGTAAGATGTTATAAATCGATTTACATCTGGGCAAACGCAATGTAATCCTTTTGTTACAGAATACATATTTATATCTAAACGTATATAATATTAAATAAACTATATATATATTACAACCTCCTGCATGAAAATGTTAATTCTTGTAAATGAATGATGTACACTTAATTATGCTCTATACGTCGAAAATATTCGTTCCTAATTATACAATCAGCACAAAATCTTTTGGAGATACGAAAGCAATTCAGTGTAAAATATATATTTCTTTAATATTTTTATACTTTAGGTTTGTAGTGAGTTGCATGTTACTATGCCTTCTTTTCTTTACAAACGACGTAACATGCAATGTATCATAAACTGTTTTCAATTTATCCTGATAATATTCTTTGCTTCACATACGATACAATTTGCTCTAAACAGTTTTAATTAAGCAATTATTAATTTAAAGCGGTGGATGTTAATACAGCAACCCCCCTCTCGTAAAAACTGTGCGGTTCTTGACTAGGAGCAATATTCAAATCGACAGTAAATAACAGTTCGGTACGAGTGCTGTTCAAGTAGACCGGCAAGGACAATTTGCCATTTCTGATATCCTCCGTAGATGATCGCGCCCATCTTAGCATAGTGACTGGTAAATCCGTCATGATAGTTGAAGTTAAATACAATTGATTATCCTTACATTGCGCACCTTGTAATTTTAAACCGGTAACAGCAAAGGAACAGTCATCCGTGGCAATATTATCGCCGTCTCCGATAGTTACGTTTAATTGCAATTCCTCGAGTGACCAGCTATTAGCCTGCGCGATGCATTGTCTGGTTGCTGTGATATAAGCCTCAGGATTCAGCAAACCTCCCAGCCAAACTGGAAAACTCTGAAACCAATCACAATCGATTGATAATTTTATATCGAATCAATTTGAGCGAATTCAATGAAGAGTAAACATATTTCTGAAAAATAGTATAATTATATCATTCAGTGATAAAATATCTGGAACAGTGAAGCAAATGTAAGAAAATAATGAAAATTGAAATAAACCTTTATCTCCTTCGCACCGCCTTGGGAGACTAAACGCGAGACTTCCTGCAGTTGCGAAACCCTGTGGCTAAAATCGGTAATCCATTGTATGACTGTACAGCCTCTTGGCACAGTATATCTCCTCCAACCACCAGGCAGAATACCTTTTACTAATTCAGAAAGCATCGTTCTATGATAATTGGTCTGTTTCTTCTCGCCCTGTTAAAAATACATAAAACACAGTTATCTTAAACAATATTAGCCCAGTGGCCATTTTATATTTGAGAATAATAAAACAGAAATAAAACACTTACTTGACAAATTAATACGACATCTTCCAAGTCGTGGATAACATCTTGAAGTAATTTAGCTCCACTGTTGACTTCCCTCTCGAAGTATCTATATAATGGATCTTTGATATTCTCGACTGTTCTCTTCAAGGTTGGTAGATTCTTGGGAAGTAATTGTAACCAAGTGGAAGCCGAATTATGCAAGGTCCTCATCCAAGATGGTCGACCGTCTGCTTCAGCTTCTCTTGGCGTATCTAGAGACTCCTCATTCGAATACGCCAATTCGTCCTCATCCTCCAACTGCTGCATCTTAAGAAGCTTGGAAACCAAGTCGGTTCCTCTTGTAGTTAGAAGCACTTTTTCCGCATTGTTCGGCAAGCCAAGCCAGGAAGGTGTCTGTCTATCCGAGAGTGATTCGATCCATTTTAAAAAGTGATCACGTCTGGTGCCATCCGGCATCGTGATGTGTCTTTGATTACCCTGGGCGCCGTCGATATTGGCGACAAGGGCAAAATCAGCTTCGAAGGAGCGCGGAGTGAAGAGTTTACGCAGAAAAGAAGCCAGGAGACGTTGATCGAAATCGTTGTCAATTTTGCCACCATAGATGCATTGAGAGAGGAGAGTCACTAGAGCATCCCAAGGCACCTTTTCTGGCGGCAGATTTGTCCTGCCCATAGCCGTAGCTTCAATCCATGTATCCAAAGTGTCGCAGGCAACTCTCAAGTCGCTCTCGTTGAATTCATAATGCTTTGCCCAGCCCAATGGCGCATAACGTAGACGTTCCTGTACGATTGCATGGAACCACGCGAGCAGGAAGTAGAGACGGGCTCTCTCGTTGGGCGCTCGCATCATCCTTGAAGCGGGAACGGTGCTAAATGTGCGCAACAAGTTTGCTCGTATGCCAGGAGGCGGTTCGAACACAAATATTCTACCAGCTCTTAATAGATTCACCGGCACCTTAGAATTAATCTCCATTGTTAGGAACAGTCGGAAACTAGCGTGCGGCTGAAGACTGTGAAGCTTCTTTTCCAGCTGCACCAACCATTGCGGAGCAAGATGTACGTTTTTCAACAGCACCCATCTGCCGGCCTTCACAGCCATATTTATAGCCCGATCAGCCTGATTAAATCCTTCCGCCGATCCAATAGCAATACTGGCTATTTGTTTACCCAATTCTGCTGCTAGATCGTCGACTCTGCCCGAAGCGTCAAAGCCCGGTACTGAGCACAATAAAGCCGGCACAGTCGCTTTCAATTGGTCC